TGTAAACCAAATTTTTTTTCTAAAGATTCTAATTAAAAAGTTTGAAATTTTGGCGAAACATTGCAGAATTAATTTTTATAGTTTTTTGCACAAAGTTGGAAATTTGATATTATATGGTTTTTGAGGGAAAAAGAGCTTTACTTTCATAAAATAAACAATAAACATTAAATAAACTGAGGAAAAATAGCCAAAACTTACTAAAATGTCGAGTCCTAATTTCTATTTTGGCCACTGTATGTATTCTCCGTTTCGAATCAAAGGCCTTCAGATTAGAAAATAATAACTGTTTATAAAGAAAATTACAATCATATACCAACATCACTTAAAACTCGTTCATAGGCATGCCATTTTAATGAGCTGTTAAGGCGTCGGAACACCGAATACGGGACAAATAGAGGACTTTAAAAGAAATACAGAACATTTGGCGTCCCGTATAAAATAAATAAATTACCAGGACAATGGGTCAAAAAAGAGGACTGTCCCGTATAATACAGGACGGATGGTCACCGTAGCCATACGTTTACTTTACCTATGGCTTATCTGAATTATGCAAACCTGCTTTCGAAATTATGTGGGTATGCAATTAGTGGTAAATAAATATTGTATATTATAACCATAATCAAATTACAAATCTGTGGTGACAAGTCAAAACAGCTTAAGTCGGGAAGTTGGCTTTAGCTTAATGTACCATTCGGGGAGTAAGATTGCATATCACCTTGGTGGTTTAGTTGATTGAGTTGAAGTGGCGAGTTTAACAACTTCAATTAGCAGTTACGCGTGCCATTTTAAAGCCACTATTCGCAATTAAACCTCAGAAGAAAACACGAAAAGAACCAGCAGAAGTCGGTTATTTCTCTCAAATCCAGCATGTGGAGTTCAAGCACTTAAGCACATAGTTGCAGTGGGTTAATATCACTTATGTCTGTTAATCGGAAGTAGCAGGGTTAGCTTTGAAGACTGGTTCTCGTCTTACATAGTGCTTGGCAATTACAGAGCAGACGCTCCACCGCTCCTTCTGCATACAGTGTCCTAGTCTTGCAGCATGGATGCAGTGCGTTTTGCGCATTAGGTGGGCCACAGACTCCTGCTGACCGTACGGAATTGTAGGCCTTTACACCTACTGTTAGCCACCTTTTTCAAGTGCCGAGAGACGCGGATCTTGATATAGCTCAGAGGCACTAGAACCTCCTGCTCTCCTACTATCCCACTCTCTGCAGCCATGGAATAACCCACGATTGGGCCTCATGTAGCACTGGTGGAAAGATCCCGCCGGACGCGAAGATTTGTACGGAGAGACACTATGAATTGCCCATATTCTCTTTTGTTAACGACATTTATGGATGGTGCCGCCACGTTGCTACCTACCGTCAAGTCCTTATTTTGATCGCAGTCTGGAAAATGGGTACGAAGAAGAATGACGTACTGGTCATTGAAAAACTGTGGGCAGATAAACGCGAAAGAAATTAATTCTAATTTCCCAAACTCTGTCTAATAATCGCAATCACGCCTCATACAAAACTGCTTTTGCTTTAAATAATAAACGAAATGGTTCATTATACTGAAGCCAACCGTCCGACTTAAGCTGCTATGCCTTATGAACACAGTAATATCAAATAAAAAATTAATACAACAACTTATATTTGCTAATAGTAGTTTTTTATGTGGGCTGTAAAATTTCTTTGGAGTTAGTTAGCAAGTTGCACATGTGAATTTACTATAGGTAACTTGTTTTGGCTAGCCGATCGCTATTCTTATACCAAAGCGGGCTGCATCTTTTTAATTCGAGCATATTTATCATGACGCGACTTTGAATTTGTTATGCCAATAACAACAGTAACAAATAAATAAATACACACAAGCAATAAAAGGAAAGGAAAGAAAATAAATAAATGTCTCAATATTTACACAGCTTTATTGGTTTAAATTGTTTGCCTCGTGAAGCAAATGTTGTTGTTATTTTCAGTGCTAATGTCTGGTTAATTATGCCGAATGCCGGCTTTGTTGTTATCAGCAATAATACGAGACAGCGTACGCCTTATACGCATATTAAACCTACTTGTAATCGAAAATTGCATGACGGCTATGTACATTAGACCGTGCCACCTTACAAAGCAAACAAAAAAAAGTTCGCGGTATAACCCTCCGTCTAAAATATTTGTACAAGGCGAAACATACATACATAATTTTTTTTTTTAAATGGTTCTGCGAGAATTATCGAAAAACTTCCTTTTGCAAAAGTTAATTGATTTTTGGCAGATTTAATTTACTGGCATGCGGGGGTGGACAACATCTCTGATTGCGATTTTATTAAATTGTTTTTTTCTAGATTGACCTGCAAATAATATACTTTCGAATCAGGTGTGTACGACGAACTTTTTCTTCTAAATAGTACGGCCTAATGTTTTTTTTTACATACATATCGCACACCGTCTTCAAAAGAGTCACAACTCAAAATTTGGCATTTTTGAGATTATGCGCTAAAAATGTACACAGACCTATTATCTACCCTTCAGCAAAGCTGGAGCAAATTTTTGTTATAATTTGTGTAAAAAAAAAAACCTAACGTAAAGTTGCCTTTGCCCATACGATTATCATGTGCTAAGAAATAGTTTTTCGCATTTTCTGACAAACGTATTATTTTGAGTTGTGACTCTTTTGAAGACGGTGTACGAAATGTATGCAGCCATGAATGTGCACAAAGAATATGAGTGCTCTCGGATATGAAAATGATAACTTCAATATTGAAATTTCTTGGTTTTATCCACATTTTTTTTATGATAATTTGTGTCGGTGGCGATAAGCTAAAAAAGTAAAAATGATTTATTATCTAATAATTTTTCTTTCAAATTAATTTCAATGAAAAATGCATTGCGTTCCAAAGTAATTGTTTAAAATATCTTTTCTATAATTTATCTTAATTTTATATTTTTTTTTGAACATACAGTGACGAACAAAAGTATTGGCACAGTGAATTTTTCGCAATATATGCAAAGTTCTTTATTCTGATTTATTTTCGATAATTTTTTATAAAAATATTTTTCATTCTACACCAGAAAACATAATAATAAAACCTCTAAACTTTGTGCAAAACTCAGGAAAACTCATTAAATTTGCACACTAATTTGCAACTTTTTATTCAGTTTAAAAAAAAAAAAAAATTCAAAGTATGCAGTTTTATAGCCCATTCAAATTTAGTATAACAAAGTGCAAGTTTGAAGTCGCTTGAAAATCGCATTGATTTTTGGTAATTTTTTAAGTGGAAGGTGTTGCTCATTTGTGTAAATAAATCAAGAGGCAAGCAATAGAAACAATAAATAAACGGGCGAATTGTGGAAATTTTCAGCTAAACAAAAACACTCGTAAAGTGATTCAAACACTTACAATTGAAACGAAATGAAGTTGAAATTTGAATTTAAATTTAAATTAAAAATATACATTTTGCAATGCGGCTGCATGCGAGTAGATTTTTGCTAGCTTTTTATACATAGCAGTCAGTGAGTGGGTATACGTAAAACTAAAAATGTTTAGGACCATTTTCGCAAGTAGGTTTTAAATTTTGTTCTGCAAAAATGTGTTTTAGGATCAGATACATTTTAATAGCTACTTGAGAAAACGACACATAGTGTGCTAGTTGTTAGCAAATTGTGGCTTAGATTTTTTTTTTTGGAAAAGGCCATTAAATTTTTTGTATACAGAAACCCTTGGTCATGTCCGCATTCATATTTGTTTGTTTGGTTAAATTTAGATATATGTACATACTTATGTATGTACCTGCTGTTAGGTAAGATTTTTTCAAACGATGAACACATCGATATCGATAAACTTTCGAATTCTACTGCCACTATATACAGATTTATCTATAAACCCACCGATATATGTACCTATGTGACGTCAAAGCTATCGATATGTCGATAAAACTATCGATTTATAATAATTCATAAAACTATCGATATGTCACAGTCGATAAAACTATCGATATGTCATAATCGTTATTAACTGCCATCCATTTATTCAGCTATAAGTATGGTTGCGAAATCAAGAACCAATATTGTTATTAAGTTTTTATCGACTCGGTTTATTTGTATAGTATTTATATAGATAATTTTCGATTGTTTTTTGTTCGCTACTAAGGCCAAGATTAAAATTCCACAACCGCACGCAAATATTGCAAAATCTTTCCATTACAAACGTAAGCTCATTTTTAATTCATTCGGATATTTAATTTAATTAGTTAAAATTTGTTTTCATACTAAACTTAATAAATATTTGAGAGATAAGATTAATTAGTTTAAAACGGTTTTGCCGATATGCATTGAAATACCACATTTGTGTTATCTGTCTTCGCGTGTGTAACGTGATAGCGATGAGTTGTACAGCCAGCATATCAACAACCATAAACAAAACAGTTAACAGCAACAGTTATCTAAGCCAATGAATAAATTGAACTCATCGAAGTGCTTGCGCCACACTAGGAACTAATAGGCCGGTACATGTGTATGTACTATGTATGTATGTTGTAAGTGTGAATTGTTGTTATCAGATTTGCACTTGCCGTCGCACCAATTAGAGTACAAATACACGATTCAATTGTAGTAGAAGCCCTGTAGAAAAAACGTGCTATGAACTCTATCCCGCTAAAGCTTTTTTTGACATTTTTACACAAAAATAGCAACTGTCAAACGAGCATAGATTTGGTATTTTGGTATCTAGAGCGCCAGATTGTAATATGGCACAAAATAGTTTCCTGCATTTGATGAGCTTATTTAATTAGACATTCCAATTGGGCAGCTATGAGTAATACAAATGTTTGCAAATATTATTTACGATTTATTTCTACTAACTCAATTAAGCACTTAGTCAGCTTATTTGTGGCGCGCTTTGGTGCACCTATGCATGTATGTACGTATAACTAAATATGAGTACATTCGTTTCCGAATATACATATATTACATGTGTGTGTGTGATGATAAGTGAGAATGGTTGTTGATTTTCTTACTCACCACCGGATTTGCTGCATTATTGAGTATTGTGTCTTTATTTGCATCCTCAGCTGGCGTAAAGCTCGCTTTGGTGCGACCGAAGACCAGAAAGCGAGGAAGGCAGGCCATATTGTGGATTGTCCTTTGCGTGCTTTGTCATTCGTTTCAGCGCGGCTGTTGATTTTTTTGTTTAAGAAAGTTTTATTTCCTTAAAAGTCACAAACGCGCACTTATCCATTTGACTTAAATGGGAAATAATTTTATTGTTACTGATAAAAAGTACAAACAATTTTTAATTACTAATTACGTAAAATTTTTTTCTTATAATTTTTGAATGCTGTCAAGCTACTATTGACTAGCGCCTAATTCCTAACGCTTAGTAACTTTTGACACTGTGCAACCAAATGAGATGAAAAAAAGTCACGAATCCGGTATGACAATTATGAAATAGGAAGAGCTCTGGAATGTTTTGTCCCTAAATGGGAATTTTTTTTTTTACAGTGTATTGAAGTTTTCCTAATTTGGTCTCAAGTTGATACATATAAATATGCAAAAAAAGTAAGGGCGCCTGGGCTACACTGGAGAAGTGAAACTTACCTAAAATATCTATTTTGTGTCATGACCAATATACATACATATGTACAAACATACATGTGTACATCTGCTTTTGCTTAAGTATATATTTTTTGTCTTTTTTCTGTCTAGATCTTTACCTCTACCGCTGTTCGTTCTAATTACATTTATGTTATTCTCTTTTCCTTTATCTTCATTTGTATATTTATACTATACTATACGATAACAAAATCGGTAGTAAAATCCATCAATATATCGATAATAAAACCGATAAATAATCGATAACAAAATCGATAACAAATTCGATAAAAATGTCGATAGCAAAATCGATAATAATGTTGGTAGTAAAATCGATATAAATGTCGATACAAATTTCGATAACAACATCGATAACAAAATCGGAGGAACACATTTTTGATGTTTCTTTTTACCTAAAACATACGTAAGATGGCGCTGTTGTATAATTTTTGCTTTTTTTAATGAATAATCCACTATTTATGCTTGTTTCATTTTAAAAGTTATGCTAGATGATGATCACAAACATAATTTCATTATTTTCTTAATTAAAAAATAATATTTTCTATTATAAGATGGGGTTTTTTAACTTAACAAAAAAAAAATTATAGTAAGAAAGTACTGGCATTGTATACCAGTCACATTGCTTGCTATGTTAAATTTTCCAAACGGTTATTAATTTTTAATTTATTTCACAATAAACATAAACACAATGTTTAGAATTTTTTAACTGCTGTCACTAGTACCGCGTGCAAACAAAAGTAAAAAGTAAACCTTTAGTGATAGGTTAGATTAAAAAAATACAGTTCTAATTTTTTTACTTTTTTCTTAATTTTTTCGCCATTTTCCCCTTTAGTGCTCTCATACCATAATTGTTCTAAATGTAAATAAAAAGCCCATTTTATAATAGAAAATATATATTTTTTTAATTAAGAAAGTCTTTTGCTCTATAAAAATATTCGTTATTCTCGTAAAACATTTCATGGTTAGTGATTAATGGATAATGTTTCTTGACACTGTGACTTATGATTTAAGAATTTTTTAACAAAAAATTTTAAATTTTGCTTCCGCGCTATTATTTTCAGAAATTGTTTATACATATTCCGGTGTGTGCTTATTTCAAAATTTTTCTTCTAATAATTTCGAGTTTAAATAATAAGCGATAATTTCTACTTTGAGTATCAAAAAGTGAACTTGAGTTTCCTGATATTTTATCTTATCTCGTATGCATTCAGTATGTACGAGTCAAGGCGAGGTGAAAATTTACGCATTATTCTCCACATAATTCGGCGGTTTTACTTCATATATGCATGTATGTATGTATGCACGTAAATACATATGTTTACATACATACATACATAAGTATGCCATAAAGAGCCAGATTAAATATGTACTTTCTTTCGAGAAGCTAAACGACTTTCTTAAGTGAGGTTATTGGTTAAAAAGTTAATCACAAATTTTCTGACGTAATTTAAGCTTAAGAAACAAATATTCTGTTAATTTTTTTTTTAAAGAGTTCAGTGATAAGCAGCACGTAAACTGTGTTTGTGAATATTTTTTTTTTATAAGAAATTTGAACTCAAATATTTGCTGTTTTTCAATTCAACTAATTATTTTTTCGCGCTCAACAAATTGTAGATTAAGTTTTAATACTGATTTTTATTTCATCGTAATTTCATTGTTTATTTATGCGAAACATTTCGAAATAACATTGAATTGTTGGCAATTAAGGTACGGCTTGATAAAAATGGCTCGCATGTATGCATTTTAACTTCCTGTTTAAGCAACACTCTGTAGCATATTTTCACTATTCATAATAAAATGTATGATTGGCAATTTTTTTATTTTACTTATTGTTTTTTTTTTTTTAATAATTAAAAAAATCCCCACCTAATCACTTAATACCTTCGTATCAGCAATCTTAATGGCGATAAGAGCAATATATTTGAAACTTGCAAAGCCCGGAAACGACCATCACTTTCAAATCATACTGAATTTTACACTCAACCGTTAAACACTTTGATTTGGTTTTCTTTCGGTGCGCGCCGCCACCCCGCTTTGCTGCTATTCAAAAGCCCTAGCGTTCGAGCGCTCGAGCGTACGAGTAACACCTTACTGCCGCTATGTATATGTAGAGTACTCGTATGTATCTATCCCTCCGTCCGCGTGCAGGCTGATAACTCGACTAATTTAATGTGGCCAATTTAAATTGGCAATTTGCGCTAAATGAATGAGAATGAGAGCGTGCGCGGGCTAGCTAACGTAGCACAGTTGGCTCAGGTGTAAATAAATGCGCTAATAGGCAATTCTAATTAAGGTGCGAATGAGCAGATGCATACATATCTACATACACATGTTTGTATGTACAGGCGGGGATGCGGCTCTATGAAGTTCGAGGTGGATGTGTTGGCTGCTTTTGTCTTCTGTTTATTTATTGGTTTTTTTTTTTTTGTTTTTGCTTTGTTGAAAACGCGCGGAAGCATATGCTCTTAAAGCTAATTTATATACCCACCTATAAGTACATATGCTATATGTGCATGTTGGTGTTTAGGTGAGTATGTCTGCGATTATCTATGAATTCCTATGTTGTTTGTGCACTTCTCACCATGTACTGTCAGGTGTTGATAATAATTGGCCCTATAGGCTTGTAAGGGGATTTAAAGGTGTTAACTGCGAGAAGGTCGTGTCGCCTTGTCTACTTTTACGCATATACATATGAATTAATTGTTATTATTTATCGTAGATAATGTCTAAGAGAAGTTCTTTGATCGCCGTTCTTTCTTTTGGTTTGTTATAGTCTACGAATGCATAAGCCTACTGTTTAGTGTAGATGTAAACTTTTAAATCTGATTAAATGATTTTGTTATGCAAAAGTGTGTAAAAAAATGCCTCCTTACTACTGCGGAGACAATAAAAAACACTCAACTTTAATGCAGTTTAATATTGCGAACACATTTACTTTTATTCATATAAGCTTTGGTATGACTCCACAAAGAAAAAAAAATAAAAAATAAGATCATAAAATTGGCATATTTTAAGACTTTTATTTGGCTCAACAGAGACTTATGCGAAGGGCTATAATTCAATTCAAATACACTGCCGGCAAAAAGTATTGGCACAGCTGCTTTTTTACAATATATTCAACAATTTCTATTGTAATATTTTTCCGGCAATTTTTTATAAAAATATGATTCATTCCACAACAAAAAACATAAAAATATAATTTCTAAACTTTGTGCAAAACTCGCGAAAATTCAGCAAATTTTAAACGTTTTAATCAGATTATCTAGAAATTTTTTGAGTATGCAGATTTGTAGCCCATTAAATTCTAGTATAAAAAATGCAAGTTCAGAGTTCGTCAAAGTTTGCATTGATTTTTGAGAATTTTATTTGTTGAAGGTGTTTTGCATTTTAGCCACATACCTAAAGTCAAACCCAAAATCGGCCCAAAATCAACTGTAATTCGTAGCTACTTAGAGCTTCTACTTTGCTACAATAAAATTGATTGGGCTACAAATCTACATACTCAAAAAAAAAATCTAAAAAATTTGTTCAAAAAGGTGAAAATTTGCAAAAATTTGAATTTTCGCAAGTTTTGCACAAAGTTTAGAAAATATATTTTTATGTTTTTGTGTTTTTTGTGGAATGAACCATATTTTTGTATGAAATTGTCGCAAAAATATTACAATAAAAATTGTTGCAAATATTGTAAAAAAGCAGCTATGCCAATACTTTTTGCCGACAGTGTACATATAACATAAAACATTGCTTTCAATAAAAAAATTTCATGGCATTTAATAACTTAATAAGCTAAATTGATAAAATTAACAAAAAAAAAAACGTAAATTGAAAATAAACTTTTTTTATTTTAATTTAAAAATTCAAATTTAAGAGATGTGTTTTTTTGTTTTGAATAGACTTCAATGAACTCTTAATTTCCGTAAATAAAATTTAATTCACTCTCGCTTCGAACGAGTACCACCACATCCATTCTGAGTGTAGCAGACATCGGCTACATAATACGCTGATAAGCAGAAACTTCATGCTCACAACAACAAAACAGTTTGAGCGAAAAATTAAAAGCCCAACTAAATGAACTACTTATTTTAGTAGTAACTAACAGCGAAGTGGCAATTTGCTTGGAATAATATGTGCAATACTGTTGGCCAATGGTAATTGTTCTACCGCGAGTACTTAAGTACTTAACGAACAAGGCTTAAATACTTTTTGTTAGGCAATAAATTTTGCTTGCTACATTAACCTACTGGAACGATAAATATGTATGTATGCATGCACAATAGACTGGATCGCAAAAAAAAAAAAATTGGCAACAAACTTTTTTTTTCGTAAACAAACTTTTTTTCTTGTTTATTTATTTTATCTTAAAATATTTTTTCGGGGTTTCTTTTAATTTTAATAAATTTTCTAAGACTTTTTTTGTAAGATTTTTTGTAATTCAAAAATTAGAAAATTTGTAGCAACTTCAAGCTGTAAATTTTTTGTAATTTTTCAAAATTGTCGTATCCATTCAAAGACAAGCTCGTGGGCGTATACAGAGGGGGGGAAAGTGGGGCACTATTACAAGAGGTTTTGGATGGGGTTTTTTTTTTTTTACTTGACGTTAACGTTTTTTTCTGAAAGTTTATTTGTGCTAATCAGAGCCAGACTCAGTCCATAACTTTTCATGAGCGTAGCAAAATGATTTCTTCGACTCAACGCCAAGGAAGCTGAGGTCTGTCACAATGGATTGCGTATTCTTGTTACTATTTTGATTATTCTTCTTTTTACTTTGCTTAATCCAGTTAAAAATTAACCAATTAAGTGAAATAAGTTACTTCAATAAATTGTGCTTTCACAGCATTCAATTATTTTCGTAGAATTAAGTTTAGTAACTTTTTTGTGCCAAAAATGCATTAATTTTCGCGAAAATTTGCTTTAGGAGTTTTTTCACAGCTGCCTCTTCTGCTTCCCCCCCAATTACTTGCCCTTTAATTGATTGCACTATTTTTCTTACTTTATTTTGCCCAACGGTCGTTGCTTTGTGCAGCTGGCGCTTGTAATTTAATCAAAAACGCGCGCACAGGAAAAGTGCAATGCACTGCGTTCTTTCAGCAGTCGAGTTAAGCAAATTTGGCTAGGAGACCAACATGACATCAAAGCAACAAGTTAACATTTTGGACATTCAAGTCAAGCTCAAACTTGTAAGCATTTACACAGTCCGGTATATGCGCTAGAGATGGGAACGGCACTAAATATATTTAATCCCGATCCCGAAATTAAATTTTTAAATTCCTAACCCACCCATCCCGACGTTTTTCAGAATTATACCGCTAGTCTCGTGGGTCCGGAAAATTATAACTAAGAAAAATTCAAATGTGCTTTAAATTAATTTTAAACATTAAAAAAAAAAAATAAAAAAATTATGAAAGATCTGGCATCTCCGTTCAAATGTGCTTTAAATTAATTTTAAACATAAAAAAAAAAAAATAAAAAAATAATGAAAGATCTGGCATCTCCGTTTATTTTGTTTTGCTTTGCTGTTGGTTTTCGTCTCAATAAAATGAAGATTTCCTGAATTTGCGGTTTTATTGGGAGTGTCAGGAACAAATTATGATCCCGTCCCGCCTGCAACATTTTTACAGACCTACCCGATACCGCCCATCGCGACCAATTTGAAATCAGTATCGTGGGTCCCGCGCGTGCCGATACCCTGCGTTCATCTCTAATATGCGCACAACTTCATTTACGATTAAAGTGTCAGCGAGCAACTGCTTTGGTGGCCAATGCCAGCCAGTCGTGGCTGTTGGAGCGCTTGACGTTTGAGGAGTAACTTGACTTTCGTAGCAGCCAACAGCCAGGCTAGGCTGGCTTTTGTAGTTGGACTATTTGGTGCTCCCATGTTGTTTTAGAAGTTTTTGTTGGAAAAACTATATTTTAATTAAGTTTTGTTATTTTGCCCTCACCTTTTGCATAAATGTGAAATAATAGAGGGATTATTTTTCCGCTTATATTTGGTGCCGTGGTGCGTAGTCGAGGAAGTTTATGAAAAATAACGAATAATAAAATGCAAAACATTGTCAAAAAATTTCTGAGTTTCCCATTGAGCTATTGTGCTCAAAGCATACCTTGAAGTTTTAGCAAGCTCTTTAATCTTCTTCTGCTTGAAAATAATTGCAAGCGATACATAATTTTACCTCATTTGCTGTTCAACAACCTTTCATTTAGGTTTGCACGATTTTCCTTATAAATTTGTTATTTTATAATCCCATCCACGTCTACGCAGTCTTCACATATCTTGCGTTCTCAAGATTTTCCCATCATCATTATCCTCGTTAATCCAACATCACGTTACACCACAACCAGCGGTTAAGCCTTGTGCAGGCAACGCGCTCATTTAATTTGTATGCCAAGGATCTAAGCATGTTTTGTGAGTACGGGTGTATGAGCACAGATGTGTTTACATTATAAATATTTACATGTACATATATTTGCATGTACATATATACATACAATGCGAACAATTGTACTCTGAAATGGAATTTTTACTTTTTTTTTGTATTTTTCGATTTTCTTCTCCATGGATGTGTTTTGTTTTAGCTGCTTTAACCACTTAACACCCCCGTGATTATTTTCAAGTTTAAATTTATAAACATACATACGGTTGGAAAATGTTTACCTGCCCTGTAGGATAAGCAAAGAAAAAGTGAAAGGAGTGATTAACATTGTGAGAGCATTTACTGGTTATGGCCACTACACAGCGCCTGCAACAGCTGGCATATGCAGATTTTTATGCAACTTTATTATTAAAATAAAATTGAATTTACATACATACATACATGCCAATGTGTAAACGATAAGTCGCCATTGACCAAAATTTGATACTTGATAATTTTTAATTCTGGGCTGATACTCGTACTTAGATGGTTAGGGGAGATGGCGGATCGGTCCTCCCTCACTAAGCGCTGCTGCGTTGAGAGATTAAAGCCTAAAAATAGTTTTGCCCTGACTGTGAAAAAATATCTGGACTTTTGTATTGGTTGCTGGGTATTCACAATCGTTTGCAACGTCAGTGACACATGGCGTATGATGAATATAATTTTTATAATGAGGAAGGTAATGCAACTGTTTTAAGAATTCATCTTGAATGCTAATCAAGTTCACAAAAACTTTTTGGTTTGAGGTT